AGGGGATCTCGTAGTCGAGCAGTCTCGACTAGAGCTTTCTTACTTGTTCTTTTTGTTTTTAATTTTATTTGGGGCACGCGCTGCTGGGACATTTCGTAATTTGACTTCTGTTTTGCTTTTATCTTTTTATAATTCATTTGCATTTGGAATTGTGCAACAAATGAAAGGCCCCCGTTTAAAACACTCTCAGCATAGAGTATTTTGAAACACGGTTATTATAGGTCTAATATTCGGTTTAAAGAGTATCTGCTGTTTCTCAGCTCGAGGTTAACTTTGATGTGTTCCACTCTTTGAATTCCACCGAAGCTGAGTTGTATTTGGGTTAAGTTGACGTGGTGACATATAAAAAAAGCATTGATTGATCAATGTGAGTTTGAATGACGCTCCATAAAAAGCGAGTGAATTGATTAGAGATAGGTAAGAAATATATAGTCCCCGTTTGAAACACGTAAAGTGAGTTTTAATGTGAATTGCTCGCTTTAGTAAGTTTTTGCATTTAACCAAAAGAATTTAAACCAGTTTGTGATTTGCTAAAATGAAAATCTCCGGTTTGATCGTGTATAGGAAAAATCCTACATTTTAATTTCTTGAATTCATTCATTTCTAAACCTTTCGTTTTCTTCAATTTCTTTCTACCATGCACATAATGACGTTCTAATAGTCTGTTGGGTGTTTCACATGTTTGGAATATTGAACGTGTTTCTCGTCGATTTGTGGATCTTATTCGCTCTGTTTGCCATAGTCAAGTTCTTGATCTGATTTCGTTGTCATAAAAAGTTCATATTCATTTAGATACTAAACGACATGTGATACAGTTAATTATGCACTTCCAATTCCCCGCGGCGCGTCTTGAGGGTAGCCACATTGGCCTTTTGCTGTCTCATTCTCCGGCGGCCTCCGCCCGCGGCTGCCCCTTGGTGCACGCTCATGGCTCTTTCACCTACGTTCCGTTAATTCCATTATAACAATTGATTTCATTGTGCAATCATTGTCACGCAGCAACAACAATAGCAACAATGGATTCAATTCACTGCACCTAACAGATGATGAGTAAAACCGTTACTCAGGTATCTCACAGATACAGCGATCAATTCGTTGCAGCTGCGTGGCCCAGCGCTGACTCAAGTCGTGAATTCCGCAAGAGAAACCCCAAAACTTGATTTTTATTTCTTTCTCCTTTATTCATTTTATAGACTCTTGCACTTGACATGGACAAACCTCAACACCAATGACAAACAAATTAACTTTCACTTTGGCTTGCACGCACCTTTTGCTTTATTTTTGTTGTTGTTGCTGTTGTATTTTTCTTGTGCTGCCTCTCTTAGCACCAATTTCTTCTTTCGTGGCAAACGCGACGCGCTTTTCTTTTGATTCGATGCCGCTCGCTTCTTATTCCCCCTATTCTTCTTCTCGTTTCGTCCGCCAACGTGCGCGTCGCTAGGAAGCCGCTTCTCAACTAATTCTACACGAACAGACTCACGCTCGCTCAAGCTCTCTTTGAATACCCTATAATAAGAGCTCTTAATGGGTATACTAATTTTGAGGTATTGTCTTTTCTTGTATATACATAGAAGCTTGTTCTTGTTATAAATTAGTAGTAGTATAATGATAAATATCGATAATTTATTATATTATGTTTGGTATGCTTGAATGATCTGTCTAAATAGATTGTGCATATGAGTTGTTTATAGGGTATTCATAAGCGATCATTCATATGTCAGTCTTTGAGTGCTCTCCGGCTGCTACACGTGCTGTGGAACGCATTGCCACGTATTTGCGAATAACATCCACAAAGACGCTGAAAGTTATAGAAAGAGAGAGAGAGAGAAAGAGAAAGAGCGAAAGGAGGATTTGGTTAAAGAGCTCGATCGTCACGATGATACCTCTGGTCACACTCTCTCACGCTCTTGAAACACAATCAAGCCGCTTTCCGTGCCTTCAATAAAAAATGATAATTGATATTTTACCTGGGCTTAATTTTTATTTTTGCATACCTACGTTTTTGTTTTTGTTATTTCTCATTTAATGGGAAGGCGCAGTATTTTTTTCGCGAATTTTATCTTTGTAGCATTAACATTTGCTAAGATTTTTGAACCGCATGCCGGTATTTTGAATTCTCATTTGTTTCTAGACAGAGCGAATTTGCTTTGACTCGGCTACTTGCATTTTCATCGCAGTTAGTCCATAGACTATAACTGTAACCTTTGTGACACACCTGCGATCCCACAAATTCCAGCTAAGGCTCAACAAGCTATGCATTATGCATGGATATAGATATATGCATATGTATAAATGTATATAGATAATTGTACAAATGAATTTTTCGCTCATGATTAAGCGTTTGCTTCGCATCGAATTGTGGATGTGCAATATTCACGTACCTCGAATCGAAATAGATATTAATTGCCTGTACACTCAATATGGCAAATGCGGCTTCAGGGCTTCATGTGATACATGCAATGTTTCGTGTAGGTATTTCTATATCTCTCTATTTTGCATGTTTCGGATAATAGCACTTGTAGCTGATCCTAACACACAATTGAACATTGTAACTTTGTAATTCTTATGCATTTTGCTTTTCGTTTGTAAAACTTACTACTGCGCTTACTTTTCTTGTATTTACCGAGCAATATGGGAATCAAGAGATTCTCTATGTCTGCAGTATCTTCTTATAAAGCCATATACTTGTCAGGTCAGCCTTGGATTATATTTTACTGTTTCAAAATTGTGGACTTCATTTCTTTTTTTTAAAGTTTTTTATTGATTTTGCTGAACTATTTTAATGTAAAGTCGTTTTCGCTTTTTTTCAGATGCCAAGACGTAAATCTCAGGAAAGAATATGTTAACTTGGTTGAATCAGTGCGCGATGCCGGTGGCGAAGTGAAAATATTCTCCAGTATGCATATATCGGGCGAACGTAAGTATTGCATATTATGAACTAATTATAAAACGCTTTACAAAATTAGTATAGAAATAAAGTGCTAAATGACGAAGTATGAGTCATACGGTGCAGTGAATACTCGAGAAGATTTTAATGTAGAATTCACATATTTAAATTGGAGGTATTTCTAAGACCTACTTCTAAACATAAACATTATGCACATAAATATTTTATTATAAATACTATTATTATTTTTTTTTTGGCCAAAGAGCTCTAATTAATTTGGACATTTATTGTATCTGATTATGCATTAGGCCAGCGAACGAATTCACTCGACTATTCTTTAGAGAAGACAAGCAAATTGTCTATTGCTCATGTTCTTTGGTCTGGTGTAGAAGTTTCAGGGTACAGGCCTCCCCCTGTCTAATGACCTCGTTAAGCATTCTATTTTTACACGCCGCACAGTGCATATGCATATGTTTGCACATAAATACAGATACATATATGTATGTATAGATACATATACAAATTTGAAAGGAATCTCCCGCGTTGCAGAATTCGGTTTATGTTGGACTTTAGCCCGAGGCTTTTCATTTATTTAGTTTTTGTTTGCTCGGAACATTTTCAATTTCATTTTGATTATAAATTTAACTTGACGTTAATTAAAATTGCATTTTACATGCTTTCGAAATATTTTTGGGTCACTTTAAATAGCAATTTGTTGGCTGCTTGGTAAATGACTCACGTCTTGTCTATTCTTCTTCTTATTCTTATTTCGTTCTTATCAATTGTTTGCGACTTGGCAACGTTTTGCCAATTCGTATACCCTGTACTCTGAAAAGTTGGCTGTGGACAAGACAATGGAATGAATTGCATGCTGAAAGAATTCATAATCAAAAGGGTATATTGGAAAAGAGCACTAGAACTATACAAAAGTCTAGTATTGTTTCTTTATGTTCATTTATATAATTCTGAAGAGAGCTTCATCATTTTTGTAGATGGCATTAGCTGCATTAAAAAGTTGTCGAACTTGATAAGGATTGATAAATAGATGGTTCTTTATTTTATCAAAGATAAGATATGCTGTAATATAGTATAATACAACATGTTCAAACTGTAAATTTTATAATTATATATTTGAAGTTATCTTATGTTCTGTCAAGGCTTCAATCTTTAGTATTGTCTACCGATTTGATTAATGTTGATTATTTAACAGAAATGTTATTTAAGTCTAACAGAACGGGACTCAAGGCATATGTATGTATATGCAATATGATTTAGAATACACCAATGTCTAAAATCGAATATATTTCTTATTCTTTAATGTTTACTAAAAGGATGGTCGCTCTTCCATAATCGATGATGCTAACTCTAAAATAGAACCGGCATACTTTGTAATACCCTTTATAGCTTGTGAAATGAATTTTGCATATCTGGTCCGTCTTTCACCTCTCCACTCGAACATTTCCACAGCGTTTCATTTAACTCGTTATCGCTGGCACCGCCTGCTCAAGTACTTGTTGCTTCGCTGCCGAGAGAACGCCTTAATCAGCTCGCAATTGCTTTTATATAAACATTGTAGAACAAGTGTAAACAAAAACAAAAACCTCGAGTGCTTGATTTGAATTGTGTGCAGATAAAGCAAACCCACAATTTCCATTATTGAGCAGCAATGAATACGAACCGAAAAGCAACCCGAGCACAACCTATGCTAAACTCTAGCACATTGAGCACTTTTCGTTGCTCATCAATAATGGACGTGCAGGGTGTATTTACTTCGCAGTATGCGATGACAGAATCTGATTTGTCGACCCCTCTGTTACTGACGATGAGCCAACCATTTATCTAATTTCCATAATGTCGATCAAAATGAATTTGAATGTCACCAATGTTCTCATAATGAATATGCGATTTCAGATTATTTCAATAATATTATGTCATTGAGAACTTAATATCATTGTAGGGGACTGTAAAAAGAATAATTGTAAATTGAATATCCATAAAGATGAATGTGAAGTTCAAAAGTGAGTCACTTTTCTAGAAGCGGGCAGCCTTGACTATGTCGATTGCAGCTCCCACGCCCGGTGCATACCTAGGAGAACATGTTAACTGGTTTGCTTGGACTGAGCACTTGCATTGATTTGGCTTACAGCTTGACCAAAAGCTGTGGAAAATTCGCTTCAAGCCAGATTTTCAGTCATAAGTTCTTTAGCTAGCTTAAGCATATGCAGTGGATGTATAAATTATGCAGTTAAGATAATTTGGTTCTCCGTTAGTTCGTTTCTGGGCCACAATTTCAAAACTTGAATGCTTTGGTTTTCTAGTTGATGCCAACCTGCTTTATCCACTTGATCTTAAAATGCATAATATACCTATTTCCTTTAATGAAATGTACTAATTCTATGTATCCAACTGCAAAATTATTAATTTTTTACACACATTTAAACATTATGATTACGTTCTGGTAGTTGCATTATTCAACCAATAAATTCTCATAATATTGCCCACACTGCAACGCAGTCGCTGCTTACTGCTCAGTTAGCAGAGCGCTTGTTTATACGTATGTGTGGATGCATGTGTATGTATGTGTGCATAAGAAAACTGCAGAATGATTTGGATATCACTTTGGAGAGTGCAGGGTATCTCCTAGTCGAGCAGTTTCGACTAGAGCTATCTTACTTGTTTTCTTATGATCTTTGAACTTATTGTTTAAATTAACAACCCGGTATTTTTTAGGGTTTCATTTTAAGATCTTCTTCATTCACGTTTCATAATAATTTTTATATACAATATTTATTAACAGCTGAACAGTACCTCCAAAAGTATTCATGATTAATTAATAATCCTTATTTACTTTTCAGAACTCTCACAATTAACGGGCATTGCGGCTATCTTACGTTTTCCCATGCCGGAACTGGAAGACAGTGATGACGATGACGAAGAGGACGGTGCGGCGGGCGGCGACAACAGCGATAGCGATTGAGAAGAATACCTCTTAAGGATCCTGTAGCATTTTTCTATTCAGACGGTGTATTTGACATACTCGAGGAAAAGGACGATGAACGCATATACAAAAAGGCAAACACGAAACATAATAAATAAAAATATATATAGCGTAATAGGTACTACTTATGACAGACTTGGACTGTGTCAGGGCATATACAATATACGAGTACTATATATATATATACAAATATTTAGGTTATCGGATGCAAGCGACAAATTGTTAGTTAAAATTAAAAAGAAAAAACGGGAATTAAGTTTTCTATAGCCGAGCAACTATTATGGTTTGGCATCTATATAATTAACGAAAATCTTAGAAATCTTATAAAATATTAAAGTAATCCGTGCTCTAGTTCTTTTTCCCTTTATAACACATGTTTTGCTTTACTACTGTTTTTCTTGTTATAATATATTTTAAAATTATACGATATTAGTCTTTATACATTATACTCATGTGTTCTCTCCACATCCTGCTATGTTTTACAATTAATGAATGCAAGATTTTATTGTTCAAAAATTTAGTTTAAGCTTAAAAAATAAACCGATAAGCTGTGCAACAATTTTGGTTAATTACATTTTATTCATTTTAATGTTTAAGCCTCAATGCTATAAAAAATCATACTTTATTCCCGAATTGGAATTGGTTTACTCGAGATAAATTTAATTTAATTTTTACCAACAAATGCAGCTGTTATTTGCCGTTTGCAGATCACTTAGCAGTCCCACAGTTGTTAGCTAACACTCTGTTTCTATCCGTTAGACCAAGGCAATTTTAATTTGTTCTTTTGGTTTGATTGGGCTTATGAAAAGGATACTCCTGTATATAATACTCCGTTTATCCTTGTTGATTTTCAAAGTCCATCATCGTGTGTTGAGTTGCGGAGGTTCTGCTGCATTGACCTCCTTCAATACAGTATGGAGCTGCTTAAGAATGCTTGTCTCCACAAATATATCCCTATATATTTTCCGAAACGGTTAATTGGCCCCTATTATTTGATCAGATGAATAACAATATAAACTATTTTGTCTATTCAAAATGAAGACCTTTTAAGTCTGCTGTTGAATTGTAGTCAAACATCCACGTTGTAGTTGAACTTGCTATTTATAGATCCTTAAATGATAATATTTATGAAACCCTCAACCTCAATGTTAATATATATCAGTGAGGAAGCCACATTATGATTGCATTTACAGGTTGGTTTTTATTGTTGTTGGTTATAGACTAATTCTAAGAAGACACAGGTTGAACACAAGGCGAGGTGTTTCACTTGGCGCCCAGTTGCGAGGCTGCATTAGCAGCAGCGGCAGCTGCTTTTTTTGCCTCCCGCTTAGCTAGTTTTTTGGCTTCTTTTGTGTCGTTGTCGATGTTGCGTCGCTTCTTTCGCAGCAGCCATTCCTCCTTCTCCTTGCTCTGTTTCTCGCGAATCAGTTTGCGGAACAGATTGCGATGGCGTGGCTTGACCATGCGCGCCTGCAGACGATGCTCATCAACTTCGGCCTTGTGCAGCTGCCTTTTGTTCACCTTGTGCACCTTGCCCGACTGCACGGACATTTTCTTCTTCTGCAAGAAATTACGATTTTTGTATATAGTATTATATATTACATATATTGTATATTCCGTGGACCAACCTCTTCCTGCAGTCGCTTTGTTTTCTCATCCAGCTCTTCTTCCTCATCGTCGCTTTCCTGCTCGTCATCGAAATCTTCATCATCAGTGTCCTCTTCATCCTCATTGACACCGTCTGGACCGCCATATTTTTTGTACTCGGCTGTTTCCTGTTGATAGGCGCGCTGCAGCTGTGCATCTAGTAGCTCCTGATCCACAGTATCGTCTTCATTCTGTGCAGCTTCTTCCTCCTCCGACTCATCATCGCTTTGAGCTGTCGAAAGGAAAGAGTTAGGGGTTACAAAAAGAATTCATATTAAGCGTTTCTAGTATTCATACCGTGCGTTTCAATCAGCGAGGGATCATGAAGAGCTTTCTCTTCGGGCGGAATATACGTATCCCGTTTGGCGTCGACAAATGGCGATAGATGTGGCGGCAGCTGTTCGCCCAGGAAATATTTGTTGGTGGGCAACAGCTGTCGCTGATTCACGCAGTCAAAGACCCACTGGGGCTGAATGTAGTCTCTCGATATATACTGAGTACTTAGGCTAGGTCTGTCAACAATCTGATGCGTGATGGTCTCATCGCTCTCATCGTACGTAGAGCCTGAGAAGACGGACGAATCCCAGGAAACTTTGCCGCCAAAGGAGCGTATGATGATGACCAAAGGCTCGCGAGGAACCTCGCGATTTATAAAGAACTTTAATCCCTTAAAGAGATTACGTAGACGGGCTATTTCCTGCGCTTCCTGTTTCATTTTGATAATGCGTTTCGAGTCGCCATCCTGTTCTAGCAGCTCCATATCAATATCGGGTTCCTCCTCGTCCTCCTGCACTTTATCTGTACGCAGCAGCTCAAAGTTCAGAGCAGCAATACGTTCTGACACAAAGCTCGTCTCATCTTTCAAAGTGTCTTCATTATCTTGCAGCATGCTAGAAGGAAACTGTGGTGGATACGCCAGATTGAGCCCGTGGTACAAGCGGTAGTTCGTAAAGCCCAGCATAATTGTGTAGAACTCCACGAATATGGACATGACTTTGAAGTCGACCTCCTGCCTGGATTGCGGCTTAAACGGATAATAGTGCGGCACTATCCATGTGACCTTTTGGCCCTTGATCTCGGCCTGGAAGTAGTAGCCCTTTATCGATATGAACACCTTGCGCAGCGACTTGGAGGCAATGACATAATGCAAAAATTCGATGGTCAATCGACGGCAAAGATTCGACTGCTCTCGCGGTATCAAGTGCAAGGACGGAAATGTGCTGAACAGAAAGAGTAAAGTGAGGCAGTCATCGAGATCCTTCAGCGCATCGATGAATGTCGGATAGCGTTCCTTCACAATGTGATCAAGTTTGATTTCGGGAAACAAGGCCAAGCGACGCTTCAGATTGCGAAAGTCCTTAATAGCACGATCCCGACCCGATTTCTTAGCAAAGATCTGTGAAGGAGAGATTTGTAAAATTATTGGTGATGCCCAAGTATCTTACACCTTACCTTATAGTCACGCAGCGTCCACACTATGGGCTCGTGTAGCAGGAAGCGTATATCCTTGGTGTGGTACAATATCTTTATCTCCGAGGAGCCCTTCTGTGCACGTCTTCGATGCTTTGGTTCGCGTGGATAAACTCCCTTTAAAATACACAAGCGGCGAAAGTCATTCAGCGAAAGCTGCAACTTGCGCAGTGCTGCACGCCGGCTTATATATTGTGTGGCCTCACCGGACTCGTACTGCAAATAAAATAAATTTAAATCAAGAAAAACTCGAATACTTAATATTCCGGTTAAAAATAACCTCGCAATTGCAACTAATTGCAACTTTTGATTACTATGTTTACATACCTTCTTGGGACGCCTCATTGTGAAAGTCTGGCAGTGCAGCAGTTATTTACACAAAAAAGACTTTATTTTCCTAAACTGCTCTGCTCCAAAATTGCTTTTTTATTAAAAACACGCGCCGATGCAAAAACACACGTTTTTGTGTTGTTGGTCGCGTGGAAAGGGACAGTGTGACCTTCCACTGAAAACTAAAAAATCACAATAGCCACCATTCACTAGGCACGTGTACACGTGGATGGGCAGCACTGTCAATGAGCTGATGTATTTAAATGGTAACAGCAACAATAAAGACCTGCTTCCGTTTTATGGGTTACACTGGCTGCTAGTGCTGCCACACTCATAAAAACACAATTGCCATGCGCCGTGAATTCAAACAACGATATTGTGCCTTTTCGATAACTCATTTATTGAATCTGTTTTTATTGTTTTTATAGGTAGGTATTGTATTGAGAAAATAACATACAGTCTAAGTTTGTTGTATTATATAATATTTGTTATATATTAGTTAGTTTGAACATTAACTTTATATATTTTTTGTATGTGTGTGTTTTTTTGTTGCAATATGCAGGATGCAATTTTGCTTTACAATTGTTGTTGTTTATAACAAAATGTATTATAAATCAAACGACCTTGTTATACTTTGATTCGCGGCTCTGCGACATCTTAGTTATGTAACGGTATTTCACATTGTTCGCTCAACTTGCTCCTTGTATGTGTATGTGTGAGAGTGAGTTTGGTGTGTAGGTGTTTCTATTAGGCGTTACGATTCAAATGTATCTGAGTGTGATTTGTTGTATATTTCACCTAAATAACTAGTTAACATTGTATCTATTAGCTTCGTTTTGATTTACATAAGTGTCGTTCCCTCTTTTCATCGAAATGCGTTTTTCATATAAACGTGTTTATTCTCTGTCATAATTGTATTACTCGCTTTTTTTTGCGTGCTAGCCAATGCTCAAGTACACATACATATATACATACATACATATATATATGTATATATATATATATATATATATATATAGCGAAATTGACTATTTATTTGATTTGCTTCTAGTCCATGCTGTATTTGCTTTTAATGATGAGCTCTGATTTGATGTCCGGGAGGGGGAGGAGTGATAGTGATTGTGTTTTGTATAAAATCTAAATGTTTCCATTAAATATATACGTATTTAAATATATTTATATATATATGTATATCCATATACTTCTATAAAGTAAATAACATTCTGTATTATAGCTGTCTCGCTGTATTATTTGCAACTTTTTTTTTTTTAAGTAGAGCCGAATTTATAAGTTCAGCAAGTTTAGGGATTCCCGGGTTTTACTTTTATTTTAATTCTTATTTTTATTTTTAAATTTCATTTTTCTGTTTTCTATATTCGATTTTTGTTCATTTTATTCCAATGGCTTCATCACGTTCGTTTGACTCGTTTACAGCAGCGATCCATTAGATCTGCATTCTGTGTTTTTGTAAGGCTTACATTATACAAATACAACAATAAATCGGGCATACGAAATAACCATATGACAAATGTTGTTACAAACAATACAATAACAAAAATAAATTGAAGACTAAAATCGTTTATTGCAAGATTCGTTTCTATATATGTATATGAATTGTAATTTACTAAATGTTCTGTGTGTGAGTGTGTGTGTCTGTGTGTGTGTGTGTGTGTGTGTATTCGTATGAATTTGTATAAATTATTTGTACAATCTTATGTGCTAAAAGCGTATCAGTTATTAAAATTAATTCTCTTACTTTTCGGCTTTCCAATTATCCTTTTATTCTTTTTCGTTTATCTGTGGTACTTTCTTAAAACTCTCTCATATTTATATATATAGACGTATGTATGTATGTGTGTGTGTGGGTATGTTGAAATTAACAGTAATTCTCTACATTACATACTCAACGTTTATGCCGTGACCGTTACCGAAAATAAACCACAAACATGTGTATATATTGACTTGATACGACTACGCACTATATATGTGTGTAAAAAATATGTAAAGTAAAAATCGCACAACAATTCAAACTCAACAACACAAAAATCGCTGGTGGGTAAGGAAATATATTTTTGTTATATTATATTATTATTTGGTTTTCGCTCTATTACGCATACGACGGTTACTCTTTCGTTTTCGATAGGTATTAACCATGTTCGATAATTGCATTGCCTATTAAAAATAATAAACGCATTGTTCTTCTTCTTCTTCTTGTTGTTGTTGTTGTTGTTGTTATATACTTACAAATTTGAAAACGCTATAAAAAACTTTAAATTAGTCTACCAATATGTTAACTATTACTTTTTGCTGGATTCGCTTATTATTTATCGTTATCGTTTTTGTTATCGTTGTCGTTAGCTGCTTTAATAAAAAACAGAGTTGGGCTCGTGTCGTTTTGTTCTATCCTTCTTTCATTATTCTCTTCGCGATACTCACATCAGTCGACTCTATTCAAGCGACGCTCCTTGGATCATTATCAACTCTATGTTGTCAGACGGTTTTCGTTGATTTCATGCGACACGCGTCCATCCCAATCGAAGGTATTGCTCGAGCGCAAGCAAGCGACAATCGTTATCGTTAATCGATTAGCCTTGCGCTATGCAGGCGAAAGCTGACAGCTAAGCAGCGTACGCATAGTAGACACATTTTATTGTTTCGTGTTCTGTTTCGTTTTTTGTCTTTTTAGTTTTTTCGCTGTATTATACAAAGGACGCAACTTGAAACGATTTTCGATATACACCCTATACATATATCTATACATATATATGATTTAAACTTTTGTATACACGGCATTATTTATTAAAAAAGAAATTAGGAAGGAAGGAAAGTTACGCATACTCTCTGGGGTACATACATAATTTATATACATATATATGTATATACTTATAAAAATTAAAATATATAAATATATATATTGTTATATATTTTTTATTGTATATATGTATATAACTGTCATAATTATATATCGTATTTAAAGCATAATTGATTATGTGCTTGGGTATTATTAACAGATGATTCGATACAATTCGATCTCTGAACTGAGAGTTCTATAGCGTCCAGTAATTGCTCGTGTTTGCTAATTTCATGTATTAGAATCTTTGTACATCGGGTAATACGCATGCCAATTGTTCAAATGAAAAATTATATTAAAATTTGTTAATACTTACTTTAGCTGGAACTTAAAAATTTTGGTCAGAGGATAAAATTAGCAGACAGAATAATTCTACGCGTATGAAATTTGCTTTCTTTGGGTTTTCAGTTTCTTTTAACTTTAATTTCAAACAATGATTTTTATTTGTAAGTTATATATTTTATAAAGTATATACTGTATATTATTTATTAATCTGTAAAGTTTTTGTTTTAATTTTATTATTATTACTTGCTCTGTTTTACGCTTCTGAATAGTTTAACTAATTTTTCAACAATTTTTTGTATTCAATTATTTTTGTTTTGTTTTGTTTTTTCTTTACGCAATTATTCAACTTGTTAAAAATCTATAACCATAACAATTTCTCATATATATATGTATATATATATATATCTTATATAAGCTGCTTTAAAGCAAGACTTTAACGATTTCCACTTGACAAGTGCGAGTTTATGTGCGTTTCGAGTTAGGATCTGGGAATTAAGAGGGTTTCGAGTTCTGAATGCCGTTGGAACAATTGATGCTAACTACGCTGGTACTGATAAGGATTTGGATTACTATTATATAGTGTGTGTATATATGCAGCTGTGTCAATTATTTTGATTTCTTTGTTGTCTTTCGTACATGTTAACAGACGCTGGGCATTTGTACTGCGCTCTATGGATAGGGATCCTTAAGTTTTTAAGAGAAAGTGCCTGGGGTAGTATATGAACACTCCATGCGAAATGCTAGTTGATCAACAATTTTGTTCGATACATTAGTTTAGGTAAGTTTCTTTTCATTTTCATTTTTGAGTATGCTTTATCATAGTTCTACAAAAGTTTTATTTGTACTCGTTCGTAGTACTTTATAGAGAAAAGTGGGCGCGATATGTTTTGAGTGCGTGATTGTGTGTGTGTGTGTATATGTGTGCGAGTCTTTGTGTATGAATATGTGCCAAATGTTATGTATTCTAAATAAATAAGTTTTTAGCATATATGTATGTATTTATATATGTGGTGTTTGTTTTAGAAAGTAATTTGGAAGATTACTGTTTAGTTTTACCATATACAGCATGTATAAAAGTTTATGTTAATTGTATTATTTTGTAAGTATTGGAAGTTATATTTGTTCCGTTTCTTTTCTGTTTTGCTTGAAAAGCAATTTCATTGTTTTTTGCTCCGATTGCTCCATGCTCTTGCGCACACATGACTGTGAATTGAGCGTTCGAGTTGAAAAATGTTGACAGACAGAAAGTGTTGAATGTCAACTTATGAGTCCCGATCCATACAGTGAATATATAGGATCGATAGCAGCTGGTACTGAAGTTGCACTTGAGAGCGATGCTTCGGACAGAGTGAGTAATCAAGAATTGGGTTGAACTGGGATATATGAAACAGAAGTTTTCCAGAACAGTTAAGAGGTTGTTGGTTGCGACAACGCTTCACATGCTTATCAGAACGTCCCAGATGGTCTAACAAATATCAGCCCAAATGACTTTATTTTCCTTACCATATTGAGTCTAAAGAGCTAAGCCAAATTTTGGAAAAAGTTTTTTCTACAAATTATTCTAAAGAGTTCGCTCAACTGGCATAAGACAATAACGGTACTAACGGTAATTTTATAGACCTAAAATTGTTGGTACTTAAATTGTTAGTTAAAAGGTTTATGTGTACAATATGTAGTTACAAGAGTGAAGAACTCGAAACGAAATGATTAGTGGAGCTAAGTTGTAATGTATATGTATGTAATGAAAAACAAAAGAAAATCAAGTTTGTATACGAATGAGCTTTGTAAAGCAAAAATTCCATAGTATTACTAGACCTTACTTAAACTCATTAAATAAAACAAGTTCGCCTAACGGTAAGCTTAATCGCCTTTTAAAGCGTATATTCTACATGAATATATGTTCTGTGGTCGCATGCGGCTATAATGTCGAATGTTAGGGGTGTTCCTTTGGTGGTTTCTAGTGCCATGTTTCCAGTTGCGGCTTTTCGAGCATTTGGCTAAGCACGTTAGTTAGCGTGATGTACTTAATGCCTCGTGGTATTAATACAATGTTGTATTTTCGCATTATATTTAACTTGATATTTTCTTTTGGTGTTCTCTGTTTATTTTCTGTATTGCTATGGATGTTCTCCATATATAATCTGAATATATATGTATGTGTGTGCACCCATGGGGTGTAAGAGCAGACACAGTAGTTACCTCGCAAGGGACATAAATGTACATATCTGATGACTTCAAATAGACTCGAATGTCTTGCTTGCATTGTTCTCTGCGGTTCCTCTAATTCCTCTTCATCTTGGCCGTGCTTTGATAAACAGTATTTTCTTTTTGGTTTTATACCATGGTATGTTTATATGGGGGTATGTTATATATAAAGTTATGTCACTGCCACTAGGTCTCATTTAAATGTATTCGCGTTCGACTTTTAAAAATTATTGCTTTCTGTTCTGTGTGGTTTGTTTTCATCTTTTCATTTTTTTACTTTAGTTTTTATGTATGTATGTGTATTTCTTAGTATATTCAGTATTTGTATTTGTTTGCTTAACTTCGATAGGCAAACGTTTTCTTGGGATATTTTGTTTTGTTTTTGTTTATATATATATGTTGCCTACTTAAGATAAGGTTGCATATACATATATACCTTCATATATATGTATATATATAAGTATGTATATATATAATGCGTCTAGTTTTTGGTTTTCTTCATCTTCTTGTTTTTGGGTTCACGATTTAGGGTTTTAAGATTTGTTTAGGCTTAGTTTAGAAAAAAGTTACGTACGTTCTAAATAAAGAGAGCAAGTTGTCTTTGTTTAAATATTGTTTTTTCTCTTTCGCATACATATAAATATGTTTATATGCTCATATATATATTTATTATGTGTATATATGTGTTTATATAAATATATATATATAGGGTATTTATTTAAGCAAAAAGTATATGAAATTATTAATATTGTTGTTTTCTCGTTTGCTTGTTTCTTTTTTCTTTTTTCGAAAATTGTTTTTAATTCTCGTTCATATGTAGGGTAAGAAATATTTTGTTTCATTTGAAATAACTGCATCGTTTACGCACGCCAACAAGAATCATAAGTGACAATCATAATAATAATCATAATCATAATACAAGAGTGACGATTAGTCATAAGGTTTCGATCGTTCTTTTTTTTACATTTTTTTTTTTCATTTTTTAAATTATATCTGGCAAATTCTTAGCAAAATGTTTTCCTCTTTTCGATTTAAAGTATGCCTAGTATTATATTTTATGTCATTTTAGATTTTATGTTAGTATTTCTTTTTGAGTATAGTTGTAGCTTATCATCTTTGTTGTTTAATAAGTACGCAAATTATCACTTAATTAATATAGGTCAATATATAAGTAAGTATACATAAACATGTCGGTATATGTTTATATATATATATATATTTATATGCGATGTAAGTGTGCGTGTGGTATATAAGTTTTATATATATGTATATAGTATAAGTTTCGTAAAAACTAGACTGATTTAGGCTCTATCTGACGTAAAGCTTTCGTTATTTCATCTTAAGAGTGCTTGGAGAATGACTAGAGAACAGTTTATAATATAGTTGGTAGAGCACGCAAATTATAGTGTTGGAGAGCGGCAAGTGTTGGAAATGGCTGAAACTGATGCAAAGTTTGGTCTAAAAAGCGGAAAATATGATTTCTAAAAAGGTTTCAGCACAAATTGATACACCGAAAAGCCTTGAAATAGCTGAAGATTTCAATAAATAATTCGTAAGCAATTCTACCACACATTACATTGCTTGAGGGTTGAAATCAGTGTTGAACTGGTTGAATACTTCGAGGAGGGTTTTTGATTTTAGCTCGACTAAGCCATTTGCAGAGATTTGAAGTCTTGCCTTGAGTCCGAAAGAGATTGCCCAACACTTGCAAGAGCTTGTAAAACATATACCCAACATAATTGCCGACTGTCTTGATTCGTAACGTATATAAGGTGCTTGTGCCAAGTAAGTACTTAGATTTGATATACTCGTAAATAGATAGTAATTTGAGAAACGCAAACGCTTAAGTAAAGTAATTGATTGGGAAGCCATTATTCTTGGTAATTTTTGTTGGTATCTAAATAGTATATACTCAATAATAGATAGCGTTAGTTTAGGTTTATAGTTCGAGTAGAGAGAAAGATAGATTCATAAATAGATAGATCTGAAGAGTTTAATGTATGTGTATGTGTGGGTGTGCGTGAGTTTGGGTGTGTTGCTTTAGTTTTATATTTTCAACTGCTTAAAAGCTGCGGCTAAACATTTAAAGTAAATGTCTCTTCTGTGGGGAAAGGAAAAAACGCTGCACATAGCACTAACTAACCCGTTTTTACCTTGCTTTTCGTTTTCGCTATCTTTTTGTATTTTGCTTTACTATTTGCTTCAGCTTTTGGTTTTTGGCTTTGGTTTGTTATGCTCACAGTATTCGTGTTGTGATTTATGCATTTGTTTAACAATTCGATTAGTTTTAGTCAATTTGTTAATTTAATTCATTGATTTGTTTTGTATATAAATTTAGCTAATTGGTTTGAGAGTATTCGTGTGTCTCTGTGTCTTCGTGTGTGTGTGTGTGTGTGTGAAAGTGAGATGGTGTTTGTCATTTTGTCTTTGTTGCAGAGTTGCTGATCTGCCACGATGCAGACTTACACGGGGCAGGTGATAAAATCATATTCAAACATCAGCGACACGGCAACAAAGACAAAGTACAGTAGAAACATGGTAAAGCCCAACCCCTTGTTCATGCGCCAACGGAAGCAGGCAATTGATAGCACCACAAAAACGAGCATCATAAACAATATGGTTATGGAACACACCATGCCCACCGAATTCACTTCAACGGGTGCATCGTAGATAATCCCATAGAGCAGCCAGGGTATCGGCAAGCTGCATATCCAATGGGCAGATATGTATAAACATTAGTCTCAGCTGGCCATCATCATAAGAAATTCAAGTGGATAATGCTTCTCTGAGCTGGAGCACTTACCCCACAGTCACGTCGAATATGTTGCTGCCAACGGAGCTAGACACAGCCATGTCGCCAAAGCCTTTGCGGGCCACAATCACCGACGTAATCAAATCCGGTATGGATGTGCCCGCCGCCAGGAAGGTAAGGCCCATAACCTGTACAATAAACAAGAATTCATGACTTTATCATTATCATTGTCATTATTATCATGCTAGGTGGGACTACTAATACAATGACAAGGAACACAGTTCCTCGATTCCCGTTGGTTGGTGATCGGGCAACTCGTCCAATCAACAGTAAATATCTGTAATATCTCTGATCTCCAATAATACAGATGTAGTTCTCAGGAGTGACGTTGCAAGGAATCGTTTTTACGAGTGAGTGGCGCATCTTCCCCAGATTATGTTATTTTTAGGTATATAGATAGAGATGAGAGTAGGTGAAGGTAACATTAAGGCGGAAGGCCTAGACATTGAGTACCGATCATAGTCCGGGGCAGATGTGTTGTCTATGGTGCCTGGAATGCTCTTCGAAATCCTTTTGAAAAGCCTCAAGAAGATATAGGATCTTTCGCTAAATGACCAATCCTTAATACATAGAATTGCCTCGCAGAAAGTATCTTGGACGTAGAGTCAGGCCAAAAAAAAGTACCTCGATTGTGGGGGAAAGCGTCGACTTTAGCTGCATCTACTGATATTTTGTTGTTAAGTGCTATACACACAAGGACTATACACACAATGCATTGAGGACAGTCTGCAGTAGAAGCATATAGCATAGAGGATTCGCAGTAATAGTATGAAATTCCGAGAGATCAGATTATTATATTTTATATGTTTACCAACGAACATTATGTTGACAAATACTTCCAATATGACAAACATTCTATATCAGTCATTCCAACTTCTTCATGCCTTCTACGTACCTCTGGCGGTATTCGCGCCGTATCACCTGCGACGTTTGCCCACCAGACCATAAGATACGAGAAGGCGGCTATCCACACAATGGAGCCTATAAAGGTGACGGGGAAGTAACGCTTTCCGCGGGGGGTCCGGGTGTCGGGCAGCGTCAGCCACATTGGCACCAGAAGCGGAGCGACCAGGACGTACGTGAGTCGCTTGCGGGCCGTATCCGGCCAAGCCATGCTCAAAGGCTCTGGATCATCCTCCATTATTTCGGGCGCCTTATATATGCGAATACATATACATATATATTACAAAATGTTAAAGCCAAAGCATTTGAAGTGCTTTAACAGACTTGCTTCTTTAGATGTTTATACAATAAAGTTCGGTTAAGGATAGAATTATATATATGTATATACATATGTATAACGTATGTATGTTAGTATATTAAAAAATATATATTTATAAATGTGTATGATACGATGTGGGTAATATTGTCTGATGTATGTATGTAGTTCGGCTATATGAGTTTCTTTCGATATTATGGGGTATGTTAGTTCTGATCAGATCAAGAGTTCTTCGCTTGATTTCGAGTTGTGGGGACACGCTCACAGACAGGCGAAGCCAGATGGACGCTAGTTAAAGTTAAAGTCAAATGGTGCGTATAAGTAGTACGAGAGTTCAAGTGTGGCCAGAGTTCATAAACAGATCGTGTATGTGTTTATTTAGCAAAAACGTACAAACAAAGTGCATACACTTACGTTCTAGTTATACGAGCTTAAGAGGGTGCTATACGAGTATTGTAACGTGCACAGATTTCAGCTTCATAGTCTATATTAGAGGCATGCTCGAATGTAGTATTTTTTTTTTTTTTGTACTTTTATTCGGCTACACATACAAAGATAGGCTACGCACATACACACACACAGATACGCATACGCATACGCATACGCACACGCACACAGACTCTCAATCCGAACTAAAGTTGATCAAAGTTTAACGAAAATAGAAAGTAAAACATGTTAAGTTCATTAAGTATTACATAGGTGACTTAAGGAAAATTAATACTATTTCAACTACATAAGTAAGCGCAATGGTAAGGCTACATTTCGTGTAAGCGGCACGAAAGCAATGCGAGTGTGAAAATACTCTTACAGCTTGCCGGGGCAAGACTGATTTCAAGTACAATATTCATTGATATATTCTGTGCTGTGGAGACTGCGGTTGCTGCTTCACGCCCCTGGGCAATGCTCGAGCTGTGGTCGATGACAAGCTACGCAATGACGTCATTTCAAATCGAATTCGAATATTAAGTTACGTATTTGTGAGTCATAATTAGTTTGAAGTCAAAAGGTATTGCACACCATAGATTATTCTATGAGTGGGCGGAACAACAAGTGCTACACGGACAAACAAGCCTCGCCTGAATGTGGACTTGAAATTTTTCGAATATAGGAACGTCAGGCCTCAGCTCAATATACACTTACGACATTCGATATTCGAAATTTGTATATAGGCAAATCAAGTGTTACCCGGACAGCTAGGACTCCCCTAAACCTTACGATATTCGCAATTTGTATATAGGAAATCATATCCACCTTAAATTTTGTGCTGTTAGAATTGCGATTAATGGAGTGAATATAAATACTATAATAGTTTACGATCAAATTGGTAAAAGTGTTTTACGATGTGCGCCGGCGATATTAATCTTATATATCAGTTTAAGATATTTTGGAATAAGTATATTGCTTACACAATATGACGGACGTTGTATTTTGCTTTCTCTCAAATATTCTAAAGCATTTGAGAAAACCGGCCCCACCTAGCATTACGATCGCTCTATAGTCACGGACATAAGCAATTATAATATTCAAATCGATTATATGCAAATTGATAATGTCGATTGGCTCATCTTCTAGGCATTTGAGTGCGCGGAACACATTTAGTCCACTAACAATTGCCAATTGCCAATCACCAATTGCCATTTGCTACTTGCTATTTGCCATTACCATTCACCCGTGCATTCCACTGCGCAGGAGGGTTCGAATCAATACGCGTGCGCTTTGAGGCAGCGTCAGGGCTTGCTAGCTCCGAGTTCGTGACGTCGCGCTCGAGACACGGCACAGATGTGTATATGGTTATATATCAATTTAATTGTTACGATATTTGTGAAATTAAAAATGATAATTGTAAATTGGTATGCAATATATAGAGAAGAGATAGAGAGAGATAGAAAGAGAGAGCAATAAATAAATTGTTTATGAAACTAACTTTGATGCTAAATTTGCGTGTCTGAATTTTGACCCTCTGCTCAATCCAGCTAGGACGTCGACCACTTAACGATGGCTTTTGATATAAAATTGAAGTTAAGTTAAGAATTCATTTTGTTTGCATGTATTATTGTAATATTTTTTAAAGAAAATTATATATTTATGGTTTTTTGTTGAGAATATTCGGTGAGAACTTTGCCTTTGCTTAGTTTCAGCTATGGAAATAAAACTTGATTAATAAACCAAACACTGTTTAGAGACAGATAGACAGACTGGGCGATAGAGTAGTTAGATAGAAAGAGATAGATAGAGATTGTGATAAGAAGTTGAGTGTTGGGGGGGTTATTACATAACAAACACATACTGAATGGGTATTTAACACAATTACAGTTATTTGAGTGTGGGACTGTTGAAGAGCAAAAGTGGAATTGATTTTTTCGTAGATTTCGATTCAGAGGCTTTTCAATTTTGTTTTCGATTTTGATTTTAATTTCGGTTTCAATTTTGTGAATCAGTTCCAAGTCGGAAGCGGGCTGAGTCTTTTTTTTCAGTGTCACTTGTGAGTCGCATTCTAATGAAATATGTTTAGATTGAATGGGCATTATGTTTACTTGTTGAATGGTTTTCGAATCGTCTTTGAATTTTGTTATTATGCCTTTTCATCTTTTTCCACAAATCCAAAAAAAAACTAAAAAATGACGTACGTATGTTATTATTAATGCTGCATTAAAAAGTTCACTTTTCAACAATAACGAGTTACGATAATCGGCATAGGCACGCTCCGAGTGTTATAATATAGATGGCAATGTAGGCGTAATGGCTGTGTGTGTGTGTGTCTATGATGGGTGTGAATGAGCGTGCGTGGGTGTGTGAATTGACATTTGCATAGGCGTAGCGAGAGTTCTGGCACAGCGCGTGGCAGCTACAAATTAGCAATGAGTGCCTGGGAATGCCTGAATGACTGATCATTGGAATGGTTTAATCGAACAGCAGCATGTGAGCAAACAAAATGAAACGAAACCCAAACAAAACGATATTGTGAATATTAAATTTGGTGTTTAACGTTTGTTTTCTATTTGGATTAGTCTTAAATGCGAGCTGTCGGCATTCGTTCAACACTAGGCAGTACGTTTCAAAATTCAAGACAAAAAGCAAATGATTTTTGTTCCAAATGGCGTCCGCGAAAATCGATGATAGTAAATTGGATAAAAATCTTCACAATTCCGAATTAGCTCATTAATTTTCTGATTTGCTTTTAGGGAATGGTTGGTTGATGTTTAGGCAATACACAGAAACACACGCACACACAGAGAGAGAGAGAGACGGAGAGAGGCACAGATGGAGATAAGGAGTTAGAATTTAAGAGAGCCACATAGAAAAAGAGAGATTGATAGAGATAGAGAGAAAGAGAGGGATGAATGGCTGGTGGTGGTCATGGACGATAGAGTATTGCGGTTAAGGATAGTTAAACATACACAACGAAAGGTGATTGTGGAGGAAGGTGTATGGAAAGTTATCATATATAGGTAAGTTGAAAGTAAAACGTAAAGTATATATCAATTTATAAGTCACACAGAAACGTTGCATAAGTACACAGAGACCGCATTTGTTGATAGTTTTTTTTGTTTGGTTTTTTTTTTTGGGACTGTCTACACACTTAATGCTGAGCTTCAAAGCGCGCAAAAGAGGAGAGAACACATAAAGAATACACAAAAAGAAGTAATGCCTGGGCTTACAAATTGGAAAAAAACATACGTATTTTAAATTTTGGGTTTAGAATCAGTCCAAACGCATCAATTACTTAACCAATCAAATAGCAATGTAGAGAAAACATGCCAACAGAGTATGGATTAAACTTGTTGTAAATGATCCAAATGATAATATTGTAACGCGCTTGAACCTGATGCTCTAAACACTGGGGTTGGGCCAATAAACGATGGAAATAAAAATATATATATAGATATAAGTACATCAATAAAAACCAATTAACATTTTACGATAAGGTGGGGGTACCTTGTCCTAAACTATCGTCAATATCGTAATTTTCAAAAGTAGCTCAAATACGGTCCACATACTACGTTAAGGAGTAGGCAGGTTTGTTTCAAAAATACGATATTCGACGCTTACAGTACTCGACGTTTTACGATATTCAAATTTATACGATATTCATCTGCGATTTGTTGTATGAAGAATGCAGCGCATTGTGTGTGACAAAGTTCAATTCGTAATCAAAATCAGAATACGATAAAAAATCAATTGAAAAGAAACTAAAACTGAATGTAAATCATGCCTAGAAATCATGAGCAATTATTTCATTAGCACTTTCTTTTTTAGTATAATCAAATTTAATTATCATATCATGTATATATATATAATCGTGGTATATCGCAAGACAAATCGCAATATGTTTGACTTACCGAATCGAGCGTCGTGTCGATATTCCCATTGGGGCGATCGGCCAACGTAGTTTCCTTGAGATTGATTTTGACGTGATTGGCCGCCGAGGTGGTGGCGCCACCGCGTTGCGGCTTTGTGGCATCCAGCAGCACCTTAAGCGAGGCAATGGCATGCAGCTGGGTTGCCTTCTCGTCCACTTTGCCTGGAACATCATCTTTGTCATTGTAATTGTGTGTTGGGTTGTTTTGAATTTTTTTTGAGGAAGGTGTTTCGATTCGATTTTCATAGAAAACAAAATATGCATACACAGAGTGTGTGTAGAGAGACAGAGAGAGAGAGACAGAGACAGAGACAGTGTGCGTGTGTGTGTTGTTGTTTGTTGGTTTGGTTGTTGTTGTTGTTGTTGTTGTTGTTGATGCAGTAGCAAGTAGTGTTTTTGTAGTTTGATTTTTTTTTTTTTTTTTTTTTTGCACACAGTACGAATTGAGTTTTCAACGCAAAATCCAAGTGTTTTTATTTTTATATATATGTTTTTTTTTTTTTCAAAAAATAAAAGAATAAAAGAAGAAGAAAGAAAGAATAAAATTGCATCGATTAAAAATGAGAATAAAACGAATTAACCCAGTTAAATATATTATTCACATTATTTTTTTTTTAGATTTGATTTTTTTTTTGTATTTTTTGGTTTTTAAATTATTTTACAAGCAGCTAAATGCCCTTTTTATTAATAATTTTGGGTAAGAGTATATTGAAAATATTTTATACAAAATGTTGATGTCAGTTGCGAAATAGCATTTTGGAGGTTGATTATAATAGTAGTAGCATGTAGCAGTAGTTAGAGTATTAGCTAGTAGGTTAGAGACTAAACTAAAGTTGAGGCACAGACTAGAGAGCGATTCAGAGAGTTTGGAAAGCTAGCAGGACAGTGTAATAGGCACAGATACAGATACAGACTTAGACTTACAGACACACACTCAAGCACGCATTCACACTCACACACCCACACACACGCGCACACAGAACAGCATTAAAATCGAAGCAGTAGTAGTGGATATGAGTGTTTAGAGAGAGAGAGAGAGAGAGGGAGGATAGTTAGAGCGGGGTGTTGGGGGCATTAGTAAACTACATCTAAGACTAATAAATCTAGATATATCAACTAAACGAATACACTACTGATATTTACCGTGTCAGAGTCTCATGGATTTTTGGTCTAACTTTTTAGCAAATTAATTTTTATTTATTTTTTTTTTTTCTTTGAGTGTGACAGCAATCTTGTGTTTTGCACTAGGAATTGGGAACATTTTGAGTTAAATTTCAGATTTGGGCTTTGAAAATTTTGAGGTTTTGGATTGATGCGAATGCGAATTAATATTGGCTTGGGAACACGGACAGGTTTCTATTTTATTTAAATTTTTAGTACTTCTGGTTGTTGTTTGTTGTCAATGTGGCGTGAAGTGGTACGTACTGGGGCTATATAAACCGCCTGCTGCCGCTAAAGAGCTGCTCATCGCGCACCCCATCTATAGTACAGCATTTGGCACTAACATTTTGTATATACATATACATATGTGTTCATATCGACAGAGACTTAGTTACTTAGCTAGGCTTAGCTTACAGTTACAGTACGCTAAAGATTTTAGACTTAGCGAGATCTAGTAAACGTATGTATATAAATATATATTGTTTGTATTATGCAAACTTTTTTACACGAGTATTATCTATCGGAAACACGTTAACCACATGCTATTCATATTAACTAGGCATACGACATTATGTAAACTTGTTGGTAATTATGCATTTCGGATAGTGTTAAAACATTTTTCACAAAGACTGTATCACAATAGCCTAATTGGCAGTGTTGTGAAATTCAGTTACATTTTATGTAAGCAGAATATCAGATATCAAATCAACAAACTTTTTATGAATTACATTTTTGAGCTGAAGCATAGAAAGCTTTAAGTAGTAAGTAATTTATATTTTTTATTTCCAGTAATCTAAAACACACGAAAATGTATAGATAATATTAAATTATATTTATAAATTATGCTTTCCTTTGCAATATTTTACTTGAACTCAATAAGTATATATGACAAATTTACCGAAAATTATAGAATATCACAAGTAATAAAATTGTAATTAATTACTTTAAACAATTTGTGAACATTGACAATGGCAAAGGCTGCTCATAAGTGATTGAAGTTGATTGGAAATTAAATTCCATGTTACTGCTCTTCCCAATATTGTCTTAGTAATGTTTCAGGGTATATCCCATATGATAAACCTCACAATGTCATACTACATTGAAGCACATTTGAAAACAGATGTAAACATCGTTAGTGCAATGCACATTCCAATGGTATAGGTAAATGTTTAAACGTTCAGACCTAAACACAAATGAGAAATGAAAAATTATAAAACAAAAGAAATAAGCAAACAACCCGCTCGACTAGTCGACGTCAAGTTGATACATGCAGGCACCTCGCTAATAACTCGTAGCTATTAAGTACAGAATATCTGATGGATTGTGGCTGGGTACCAGGCCCGGGCCAATTTCGAGCAGCATTTTTGTAGGCCAATTGTACTAGTTGCTAAGTGATTACAATTAACACATACAACACTGAATGCACACATGGTTTATAAATATGTAATATATATATGATGATTTATAAATACATAAGTCGTATGTACAATATGAATTATTTAGTTATTGTCACGCGTCAAAACTGATGCTGAAAGAGTGAACAAATGCGCGAGCGAAGCAATGGAACGTTTGCAACAGAAACAATCTTAGAGCTACTATGTTATATAGATATAAAAAGATACGAATACCAGATACGACTAGGTATTCCACTCATAGATACAAACGAGTGTCTTCGTCAGCACTAAGCTGCACGCAGCATTCTAGGAATGTCTAACGAATATAATTTATCAAATATTTCGATACATACATATATATAGTTTAATATATAACGCATATGTATAAGTATATAAATGTAACTCCAAACTGACATTGAACAACATAAAATATTTTCGTAACTTGGTTTCATTTTTATTTGATCTTTAATTTGTTTGTAGCAAAATGATATAAAGAAATGACTAAGCGGAAAAAAATATGGTATATGGAAAAGTAAATTGCAATTTAATGAGGCAGCACAACTCAAAATATTGGCATTGAAACTGTAACAGCAAATATTTAATAATAATAGAACATTAACTAAAGAGAAGAGGAAGACGAAAAAAAAAAAACCTGAAACATTATTGAAAAATTTGTAAAATATCAAATTTATAATAGTTTATTAAGATATCATCGAAAATATATTGGGTGAGAGCAAAGTGTAATTGAGATAGAAGAAAGAGAACCTTATCAATATCAACTAGAGAATAATTTATTAAAAAGACAATTTTCAGATGAAACTTATTGATCCCAGAAAAGTTAGAAGTAATTTACATACCCAGATGACAGCATGGAATTTTGTGAACTTTGTAATTTCATCTTATCCCTTAGATCAGGTATTAAATTCAAGTGATATTAAAGTCGCATTATCTGTACTGAAAGCTATTAGCTCTAATGCAGTTTCCTTTAGGTTAAGGCTTTTGTTCGCATTTTCTATTTTCAATTTTCCCACAAGCTCGCAATATCCGCTGGCAATTAAGTGTGCCTCATGTGAGAATGAGAAAAAAGAGCTAGTAAAAGAATTTTAACACTTTGTACCTGTGGAAAACCTTGATACCGAAACACCACGGCCCGGTCCGGCCCGGACCGGCCCGCACTGGCCCTGGCTAGTTTGCTTTGATTTGCTTTGCCTTACTTTGCTTCGGTTTAGTTTAAGCTTTGGAGTTAGTTTGAGTTTCGAGTTTGTCTTGGTCTTGGGCGGTGGGCCATTGCCGTGGCAACGCGGCCCCATACATATATATGTCCATGCCCCAGCGTAGCCCAGCCCAGCCCAATCCAATCCAGTCGGCTCTGTACCTAATACATAATAAATCAATGCGAGCACGTCCGGTGCCTCAGCCGGAGACGTGGAATACGTGCCTCCTCCTGATACGGCACGCCGAACTAGGTAGGGTAGATACCTAGGGCATAGGGCTGGGCGCAAAGAGCTGGCACAGCTGTAACGCGAAGAGACGACGCGACGCTCAGTCTGGTTGAGCTACTAGCCTCTGGTAATTCGATAAGTGGCCTCAAGGTCAGGCATTAAAAACTAACCAGCGCAAAAGCCAAGTCAGCAAAGACGAACAAACAGAAACAAACAAAGCGAACGAACATAAAAAGAACACAACAACAACAATAAACAATCGCCAAATATATAAATATACATAGAGAGAGAGAGAGAGAGAGAGTAAGGTGTAAGTAACTTTTTGCTAGCAAGTCAAACATCCAATTAGAAGGAACACAGAATATACACAGACTTTAAAGGAACTGAGTACAACGTTTTATTTATTTTTTTTTTCTAGGTTTCAATATCCTTGCAGTGACGTTATTTAGATAATACTAACTCAGCTAAGTCAGACAATAGGATTGCCACGATTAGGGTCGTTATATCTGAAGATTATTATAGATTAATTCAATTTAAGCAGTTTATCTTAAAATGCAGAGCCTGGCATAACAGAGCAATATGTCTAAAAATCCTACGAATCGTTTTAGGGAACCTCAGGAAGTATCGAATAAAATGTATTCATATGAGACATATTTATTCCAAGTTAAGTTACAAATTGTTTTCTTTTTTTAACAAATTCATTTTTCTGGGGAGTTGCAACTAAAAGTCGGATTTCATGAAATTTATTTACTTTCCTACATCTGTATATGATTCTATTTAATGTAGCACGGCTTTTTCACATAGAGCATATGAATATTTGAATCCATTCAGCTTTTAAAAATTATGTATCCATCTTCTGCAAGGGTATTCAAGACATCGGAAGTCCGAAGACAAACGTTTTTCTTTTTTAAGGAATCAAGTAAATTATATATAGTATAAGTAGTTGGTATAATGTAATTGCTTTTGTTTTTGAATGTAAGCGTTAACGGTGGAGGAGCTTTGTACGTTTGGGGAAGCGGGAGCTTTTGATTTGGGGTCTTTGGGATAGGGTTTGGCGGGATTTTAGGCACACATTATTAAATTTGATTCATTTTCAGTGATTCTCTTTTGGCTTGTGCAAAACACAATGTGACAAACTCAAACGAACTTACCATCGTGTAGTGGATCTATGGTGTGTATCATTAGCTGTAATAGGCCATGACGGAATTTTGCACCGGTCTGTGTACTACCAGCGGTCCCACCACTGCTATTACCTGTAGCGCCCGCATTGCTCGAACCGGCTGGACCCGAGCGGGTCTCGCTGGCCGCCCGGGATGTCACCGAACCGCCCGGCTGTGTGGCCATTGACGTTTCCGATGAGTTGGCCGCATTACCCTGAAGTGAAGGAAGAACGATGGAACGGGTGGTATGGTTACGGTTATGGTTACGGTTACGGTTACGGTTACGGTTATGGTTACGTTTGCGTTAACAGTTAAGAGTTAACGGTTATTTGGTTACGTTTAGGCATTGTGTTGAGATATTTCAGCATTGAAATGTTTTTCAATTGTATTTTCAGTTTAATTAATTTTTGTTTTGTTTTGTTTTGTTTTTTTTTTTTTTTTAAGAGCAGTGTAAATGCGATTGGGTTTTATTTTTTCAATATTATTTTGATGGTAAGCATTGTTGTTGTTGTTGTTGTTGTTGAGAAAAAGGTGAAAAGAAGAAGAAGAAAAGTTTATTATTGCAATTTGTATAAATTTACAGTACAGTGTATAGATAGCGTTGATGTTAGATTGTTGTAGTAGCTGCTGTATGTACTTTGTTGTAATTGTTGTAGTTGTAGTTTTAGTTGTTGTTCTTGTTCTCAGCTGTTGTATTGCTTAAAGGCTAATCGAATTGTTAAGTGCAATTAAATGTAGCCAATATTTCGAAACAATAAACAACGAAAAGTTAACCAAAGAAACGATATCAGGAAATTAAGATCGTGTAATATAACCACAACACGTCAACACGTAATACACAGAAATTCAAGCAACGTGTAAGAGAGTATTTCACAGTCAAGCGGACCGACTACAGCTGGGGGATCTCTACTCTGGGCAGCTCTGGGAGCAGCCATGTACCGGGTTCCGTAAAGGTCGTAGGTCATATCGCCATGTCCACTTCGAGAGGTTTTCTAGTGGAAGCTTACAAGTCTGCCAGGCATAAGGAAAGTCTGGTTCGTGTGCAGCAAAGATGAATGCATGGCAAGAGTGTGAACACTTTTATGGAAAGTTTCAATTGATGTTTATGTACAACAGGATTTGGATAGTTTGGGTGCCTACAACTGGATGCATCGGGTGTGAAATAGCAGGCTCAGTGGCCATTGGCCAACACCACAGTGGATTGTGTGGCTTCGCATTCCACTAATTCTGGTACATTTTCAGGTGGTTTGCTTTGCTGGTTCATCCAAATCATAAAGTATAAATAAACAAATTTTTTATACATTTCAAAAAAAGTTACGGTTCTTAGTACAACTAAAATATCATACAAAAAATTTATAGTTTTTTCTTTTAGATTTTGCAACTGTTTTTTAAGTATACATACAAGCTTCAGTATTCAATGACTTTTTTCGTATATTTTTGGTTGATTAGGAAAAAAATGTACATATATATACTTTTTTTTTTTTTTATTTATCAAAGCGCAGTGGGAAGTTTTGTTGTATTTCATTTTGCCTTCACTATAATCAAAAAAGTAAACACAGAAACTCAAATGAAACATTAGAAGTTGTTTTTGTTTGCTTGAAATGTAATTCAAATAAAGGAACCGATAAACTTGAAGTTCACACTCAAGACTGGCCAAAGAAAGCGCTAGAAGTGCGAGAGGAGAGCAATATAATATTAGAAAAATTATAATCAAAATGATCGCTAGCTAAATATACTTATGAAAATGCTGAATGACTAATATGGTTAGTATATGGCTATCGGGTGATAATTAGTTAAATATACATAGTAGATACATGTCAAGTACGTAAAAGAAAATTCTTTATAAATACATATATTACACGTACTATATTTAAAACAAGTGTGAGTAAGTATTCGCGTGTGTGTGCGTGTGTGTGTGTGTGTGTGACTGATATGTAAAGTGTTGTGCATACGTTTATAGAACACGTCTATCCAGATCGTATTCCATTCATAAAATGGACGGGCACGTGTGATAATTTCTTCAAGTATTCACGGAACAGGTTTATACCGAACGTATTTCATTCATAAAAACCAAGCTGGGGTTATAGGAATCGTATATTATATAGATAGTACATGGGATATACTAAGCCGTTTTGCATACCATTCAAATTGAAAAGCTCAAGATTCTAGTAAATTACAATCGATATACATACATATGTATAAATAAATGAAATATACAAAAAATACAAATTATTCCCAATAGTAAATAATTATAAACAGTTTCGATAATTCTTTTTGTTATGCTTATAATATCTGTATCATCATACAGTTTAGCATGTTCATAAGTCGTCTTATATTATTAACTTAATAATAGATGAAATTACTTGTTTAATTATTCTGGAAAGAATCAGAAAATTCTTGTTAAATGCCAGATTAAAAGAATCAAGTATTTGTATAACTATTCTTGAATGTATATAATCATACAAATATTTTTTTCTCTTTTTATATGGTTATATGTATACATTTTTTTTTTTTTTTTTGCAGAAGAATTCGATAATAGAATTTATGCATAGATTTTATAATCGTGTTGCCTGAGCAATTCCCGATTAAGAAATTCTTTCCAAAGCTGATATTTATATAAAGGCAGAGTAATTTGTGATTAGAAAATTCTTGTTCAAGATTCAAGTCTCTATTTAGCTATCTGGTATGGTATGGTATGCGTTTGTTTAATCCACACGTTTGAGCAGATGAAATTCCAGCTTAAAGAAACTTCAATCTCTGAACTGTCTGAACTTCTATTTGTAGACTACAGAAGTGCTTTGATATACTTATGTATGTGATGTATATAATGAAAAGAGTATTTGTTTGCAGCGTGTCCAGTCACAACGCAGCCCATTCATAATAAGTGGAGCAAACATATGCACATATATATATATGTTACTTATATAACACCGACTCTACTTCGCAGAACTGGGTCTGTGTAGGGCAATTCAAGATCAACAGAAACTAGCCTCCAACTAACTAGCCTCTGGCCAATTAGCGCGTTGGCTCGTGCCCAGGTGAACTACCTCAATGCTGATTGTAATGCTAATTAATGGCCAGTCATGTTGTTTTTGCCGAACGATTGAATGAGACAGATAGATAGGTAGCCTACGACTCATACCAGCTACGATACACGAGCAAAAACGGCTCGGCAATGACTCCAACTAGACGAGGACCTATGAAGTAAACAGCTCGGCTGTGTATAAATAGTCATAGATTGAGCTAAAGCGATAGCTAACGAGTGCCTTTAAAGCGGCTCCATCGAATTAACACTTTATTTTGATAGACTTTGACAGCAAAATTGCTGGCAATTGATATCTTTCTCTCTTTGTATTTCAAGACCTGTGAAATCATGCCAAAAGCATGTTACTACAGCAGCAAGAAGAAATATAAATAACAAGTAAAAAATCATTAACGCAACCCTCAGTTACTACAGGTGTTTTAATCGTATAATAAATTAAATTTAAGCTCGCATGAATCACTATTTCAAAAACTGAGCTTAACTTGAAAAATTTCGCCAAAACACGTCACAAAAGCAAAGGCAAAGGCAAAAGCAAAATAAAACTAAAAACAAATCGAAGACAAAGTCGAGCCAATGATCTAAGAAATGTAAATTGCAAAATATACAATGAACCTGCTCGAATATACCAAGTAAAAAAAACTCACAACACGACTCAATTTGTCACTCAACCTGTTTTCATACAAAATACATTCATATAAATATATATTACACACACACATATACATATATGTATAATATATGCATAAGCTGTGCACTTGTCACCTGTCTCTAAGGGGTAGAGCCCAAAAACCAGTTCCAAGAATTAATGCACTTATTCCAGGGATTTTGTTTACGTTCACGACGATATAGTGATACGACTAATGTATATATATAGCCAGCTGATATCGATAAATATAAAATAAAAACAAAACGACAACAAAAAGCAACCCCATCCAAGAGCTTGTCTAACACTGAGCACAGATAACTCGCGAATCGCTGCCGTTTGAGTCAGAGAGTCTTTGTGTCTGTCTATCTCTCTCGCTCTCTCTCGCTCTCTCACTCTCGCACAGACACACTTCGTATGTCGCTCTCTGTCTGCTCAAGTCGGGCTTTCAGCTGGGTTGACGGGCTGGCTGCATTGATCGTTGATTTGTATTATATAGCTGGGTTATGCGCTCTGTGCACATCATTTAGTAACGAATCTGAACCCAAACGCAACGAATACATTTTCGAAACGGAGCAAGAAGCGTTCGCGCGGGTTTTCTTGGACTAACAGTGAATACAACCGTGCACACAGAGATAAATATCAACAATGTTTCAAAAAAGGATTATTGAACTGTTCACACTGCTCTTCTATTGGATGGTTATTACGCCAGCCATCTATCAATATTGCAAGACACAAAATTGGATACGCTGGGATCTGAACATTCCATTTCAATCGTTCTCGGATCACGCCACCTTCGCGCTCTGCCTGCTCGCTGGCTACGTGACCTTTTATCGGATTGTGATCTTCATCTATATGAAGCTGAAAGTCTGTGACGTGAAGATGTGGCATAAGCTGAAGAAGACCCAGGAGGATCCCGAATCGCAGCTCAAGGATAAATCACACTATCAGGCCGTATCCACAGAGAACATCGATATGGTTGATGGCCCCGTCGCAGTCAAGGATCAAACGCCCAAGGTCATACGCACGATTAGTCATCCGCTGCTTGTGGAAAGCGACTTGGCACGCATACACATCAAGCACGAGACGCGGCCGCTGCGCAGCGCCACGTTGCCCCATTCGCACCTTCGGCAGCCACAGCAGCCTATCTCCAGCCCCACGCCGAGTCTGAGGTGTGCTCCGCCCGTGCCTTCGACGCCGCCCCGCACCCCTGGGCTGGCCCGCAAGCTGAGCCACGGCATCATCATGTCGCCCGACGTCCTGATGGGCACCTCCCAGCAGATCAGACCCAAGATATAATATGGAGGAGCTGGAGGAGCGAAATGTAGTTCGCATCAAGTATTAGCATTAGCCAAAGAACCAAAGACCAACCCAAGCTTAGAAGAATTATTTACGTAGATGTGCGAAATCCGATTGTTTGCTTTTTCGAGTCGAGATCGACATCGCTTATTGATCAGTTATTCCGATCCTCACAATTAGGCCATGAAAAGTTCAATCAATTCAGTAGAATGTTTAGCTCTTGAACTACTGTTATCAAAACGACGCGAAACAACTCTAATGTTAGCTGTTCCTGTAACAGGAATAGATCATTTAGTGAAATCTTAAAGCAATATAAGCAAATATTTTATGTTTTCTTCATATTTTTATATTAGCTAGCAAATACGAATATAGCTAATACGAATATAGTTTCTGCGAGTCATCTTTACAGGCATAGACATATATTTATTACCTAGTTCTAAGTTCAGAAAACAATCAAATTGTTGGCTGCTTATCCATTGAAATATTTATATACATATATACATATATCGTATGTTATGTTATATAATATACTCTATAATAAAAATGTTCACGATTTAAAGAACCAGTTACCCAAATAGTTATATTTTCTTATATGGTGGAAATCAAAAAAGGCTTTTACCATCGATAAGTATGGCATCAAATTCCTGAATGGCTTATAAGAATCATTTTTAAGCAAAAGTAAGTACGACTACATCTGAGACATCGGTATAATATAAATGTTTGCGTCTGGCTCTTATGCAAATGGTGCCTTGGGGTTGAATTCAACATCGAGCTGTTATTATATATAAACATTCCATACAACCGCATGAATTCTTAAATAATAATACATCATATGGAATTTTTATATGTATGTGCCTGTATGATTAAAATAAATGAACCATTTGAGGCGACTATCTTTGAAGAAAATCAGTTCGTGGCATTCGCTCAAAGGCAAAGCAAGTCCCAAACATGTTCGAGAAAAGGTTTATTGAATTATTTACCGTCATCTTATATTGGCTGAATTTTACGCCCTACATATATAAATCACTTACAAATAAACATTATTTGAGATTAAACTTTGGTCAGCTTGGAAAAACGTTAACGCCTGTGCTCATATTCGTATTACTGGATATTATAGTGTATGTTATGTTCTATCGGCTAGTTATGTATGGCTTCAAGGAATTGGAGAAGCTCTATACGAGAAAATTAGAAACAGTTAAAGCAAAGTATAAATCCGATAAAGCGGATATTGAAGCACAATACAAGGGTAATGCGGATAAAGCGAAGAAACCGAATGTAATATCAAAGATCCGAAAAGGATTTTAATATTTTATTGTATTCGTTAGCAAAGAGTAAAAATACAAAAAAAAAAAAAAAAAAAAAAAAAAAAATTTTAAAAAAAAAAAAAAAAAAAAAA